TCCGGAACCCTCACTCTGACCCTGTGAGCCGTCCCCATCCCTCACTCTGACCCTGTGAGCCGTCACCCAGCCCCTTCCGGAACCCTCGCTCTGACCCTGTGAGCCGTCCCCATCCTTCACTCTGACCCTGTGAGCCGTCCCCATCCCCTTCCGGAACCCTCGATCTGACCCTGTGAGCCGTCCCCAGCCCCTCAAGGAGGGTTTGCTCACACTGACATCAGTCCATGATGACAGCACTTCACGGCCCGTCTCAGACACACAGACCCACTCCCTGGTCTGGCCCGGGCCGGGGTGCTCAGCGCCTCTGTGTTGTTCGCCTGCGAGTCCGCCGCACCCACGTTCCGTGTGTTCCGATGCCCACCTGGGTCTCCTTTCTGTTGCTCCAGCTGGAGGCTTCCTGGGGCAGCTGCGCTCTCCTTTCTGTGGGAAAGCCATTCCTGTTTTTGAGACAGTCTCGCTCTGTCTTCCAGGCTGCAGTGGCGAGATCTTGGCTCACTGCAACATCTACCTCCCAGGTTCAAGAGATTCTCCTGCCTCAGCCTCCTGAGTAGCTGGGACTGCAGGCACACACCACCACACCTGGCTAATTTTTGTATTTTTAGTAGAGACGGGGTTTCACTGTGTTGGCCAGGCTGGTCTGAAACTCCTGTCCTCCGGTGATCTGCCCACCTCGGCCTCCCAAAGTGCTGAGATTTGTAGGCGTGAGCTACCGTGCCCGGCCAGGGAAGCTGTTCTGATGGAGAACAGCCCAGCTGGGCAGCTCCGGGAGCCAAGCAGAGTAAGCCACCTGCACCGTCTGCCCGCACTCTGACCTCTGCCTTGATTCACGCTGCAGAGAGTTGGCCGTGGTGCCCCAAAGGCACCCCCCTCACGGCCTCCGGTACCCTGGGAACAACCTCGGCATCTCCCTGGGGGTGGGAGGACTGCCGGGGTCTGAGCCCAGTGGGGCTGTGGGTTTGTAGAGGGCCTGGGGTCCGGGCCGGTGCTGTGGCCTCAGCAGTTGTGTCCCGGGATAGATTTTCAGCCTGAAGGCCAGGGTTCAAGATGGAAATGCCGGGGAACGCCCCTGGCCCTGCCGTCCCGCCCCAGCCTCCCACCGCCTTGGTACCTGGAGCACTTGGTGGTGGTCGGAGCCTCATTCGCCGCGTGCTGGCTGGGTTCCCAGGCCTGTTCTTGGTACTGCGGGTGCACCGGCGGGCAAGAAAACTCAGGCTTCTCCAGTGTGGTGTTTATGTCGTGAGGGGAGAGAGACGAGGGACGCACGGGTAGAGCAGATCCCTGTGGTTTATGTTTAGTGCAGCAGAGGAAACCATAGCACCCTGGGCTTGGGGGGGTTGCTCCGAGCATTCAGGACCCAGAGGCAAGGTGCTAAACGCCTCCAGCACCTCCCACCCCAGAAATGCCGCTGTTGAGACCTGGGCACCAGTGTTATGGGGAGAGGTGGCACCAGGGTGCTCAGTGAAGAGTTTGTGGTGACGTCTCCATGGTGAGGAAGATGCAGACACAGCACAGTTGAGGGCCCTTTAGAGGGAGGAGGAGGCCAGAGTGTGGGTTGGACTGAGGTGAGGAGGGCAGAGTGTGGGCTGGGCTGAGGTGGGGAGGGCAGAGTGTGGAGTGGGCTGAGGTGGGGAGGGCAGAGTGTGGAGTGGGCTGAGGTAGGGAGGGCAGAGCCCCTAAGAAGGGGGCAGGGAAACAGGAGGAGCCAGATGGTCCAAAGCTTCAGGGAGGCGAGAGCCAAGGTGCCGTCCTCAAGGATGTTGGAAAGGACAGATGCGATGTCCCCCTCCATCCTGAGCGCTGCCCCACTGGCCCCACCCTGACCCCACTCATACGATATCTCCGTCTGTCCTTCCCCCACAGACCTGTACTGTACCCTGGAGGTGGATTCCTTCGGCTATTTTGTCAGCAAAGCCAAAACCAGGGTGTTCCGGGACACAGCGGAGCCCAAGTGGGATGAGGTGAGTGGTAGGGGCTGGTGTCTCTGCAGGGACCCTCAAGTTTGCCACTGAGTGTGCCCCCACCGCCCTGAGTGTGCTGCCACTGCCCTGAGTGTGCCGCCACTGCCCTGAGTGTGCTGCCACCGCCCCGTGCCCATGGCCTGTCTGCTGGGGACAGCCAGGCCCATTGGTCAGACCAGCTCTGCCTGTGCCCCCCATTCTGCCCCCTGCTCCTGTGGTTTCTGATCACGGTGTGTGTCTGGGTGTCAGACCCTGCGCTGTCAGCTCAGGCCCCAGACTCCATCGGTGATGGGAGGCCTCTCAGAGCTCCAGAAAATCTGACGTGTTCCTTGTGGGCTGTGCTTACTCAGTCCTCCTTGCAGAGCTGAGGGGCCCGCACCTGCCGGAAAGCCAGGCCTCCCAGCTTCGGAGGTTCAGGGCCCTTTGTCCCATCTTTCCCCAGGAGTTTGAGATCGAGCTGGAGGGTTCCCAGTCCCTGAGGATCCTGTGCTATGAGAAGTGCTATGACAAGACCAAGGTCAACAAGGACAACAACGAGATCGTGGACAAGATCATGGGCAAAGGGCAGATCCAGGTGAGGCCAGGGTGCCACGGCAAGGCTGGGGAGCCTCCGGGAGACGGTTCCAGTTGAAAAGGAGTCCTGGTCAAGGAGCCTGCTCTTTGGTGATTTTGGTTCCAAGCTAGTTGGAGGAAAGTTCCTCAGGAGGTGGTTCTCCCCTGCTAGAGGTGGCCGCTTGGTGTGGCCTCGGAAGCCCAGGTGTGTGCCTGGCGCCTCAGGTGGGCCCTCCGCGCTTCTGCGAGATGGAAGCAGCCAGCTTTGTTTTCACACCCCAGCTTTAGTCTACGGGTGGCTTTTTCGCGGAACGCCGTAGTGAGAAGGATTCTGAGGCTGCGTCGGCGAACGGGGGGGAGGAATGCTGCGTGTGAGGAGCAATGTCTGCCGTTGACGGGGGCCGGAGGGAGGCACACGGACCAGGCGTTTGCTGTTCTGCCTGAAGGACTTAGGGGCCTGCTGGTTGGCTCGGGGGCCGGGAGTGGTCTCTGACTTGTTGCTGGGGTGGCTGGACCTTACTCAGCTGTGTTGGGAGCCTGAGGCTTCGGGTGGGGACTTGGGTGTTAGTAGAGGCTGCACCTCAGGTTAAGGGCATTTATGCCACTGGGCGCAGTGGCTCATGCCTGTAATCCCAGCACTTTGGGCGGCCGAGGCAGGTGGATCACGAGGTCAGGAGTTCAAGACCAGCCTGACCAACATGGTGAAACCCCATCTCTACTAAAAACACAAAAATTAGCCGGGCGTGGTGGCGTGCACCTGTAGTCACAGCTACTCAGGAGGCTGAGGCAGGAGAATGGCGTGAAACCGGGAGGCGGAGGTCGCAGTGAGCCGAGATCGCGCCTGGGTGATAGAGTGAGACCCTGACTCCGAAAAAAAAAAAGAGCATTTATACCTCAACTGTGCTTTTGGCTCTCTACAAACATAGGTAGGAAAAGGGCCTTTGTGTGTGCTGCGCGTGTCTCTGAAACATTCTGCCAGTTTTGAAGATGGCTGCTATTGACCAGGCTATTAAGAGAACGAGGCTTGGGAGCGGGAACGGCGTGGCGTGGTGGTTTCACACTCCTGTCTGGCCCCTCGGGTGGCCTCGCGCTGTGCCGCAAGGGGTCTGGTTTGGAAGTAGATCCTGTGACCATGAAATGAAGGGAGACAGTAACTAACACGTACTGGGGTTGAGCCTCGGGCGTTGGACGCGCTGGGCTTCTTAACAGTAGCCCCAGACGTGATCCAGGCGCAGGCCGTGATGGCTCCGTCTACAACAGGAGGCTGAACGATGCTTTTTAGCAGGAAGCGTTTGTTCTCTGATGTATTGTCAGGGCCACCGCGTTGGGTGTCTGGCTCTTACCTGCAGGTCCTTGGTAGCGTTGCCCCCGGGGAGCCCTGTGGGTCTCCCACTCCCCGCCCCGCCTCAGGCTCCAGTGTTTGAACCAGGGGCCCCACATGGAGGGGCCTGGCCTCCGCCGCATACGCCCCGTGTTCCTAAACACGTCTCTTTCCGATGCTGTGGGGCCGGCACCCTGCTTCTCAGTACTCGTCGCCAGGGAGACAGGGCTGCCAGGCAACTGCCAGCCAGTCCTTCGTTATTTGGAAAATGGGCTCTAGAGATTCAGTCCCTGGGACCTGCTCTCTGCAGGGATAAGGGGTGAGAGCCCCATCTCCCGGTCCCTGGGACAGGCACGGAGGGGTTCTGGGCTGGCTCATCCAGCCCCGGGAGACGCCCAGGCAAGAGACAAGAGTGGCCGCCACGCCACACTCCCTGGGCCACTGGTGGCTGTGGAATAGAAGAGTTACGGGGGTGTGCCAGGCAGCCAGCTCTGTGGGCACGGCGGGCCCCAGCCCCTCGAGAACTCAGCCTCCAGGGCCCGAGGACACATTCCCCCACCTGGACTTCAGCCCCGTCGCCTCCCTCCTTCTCACTCAGCTGCACAAGCCCCGGGAGAAACACACCGTCAGTCACTGCAAGCCTCTTGGAGACGGGAGCAGATGGAGGCCGTGGGGGAGGGAGGAAGCCAGGTTACGTTTGGCAAAGCAGAAGGCAGAGTCTGGTAAGGGAAATGTTTCTGTGTTTAAGCTTCGAGGAATGTTAAATGCCTGGGAGTTGATATTAAAAGAAACACAAACCTTCCTGCTGCCAGCTGACCTGGGTCTGTGAGCGGGCAGTTCAGAGCCAGCGTCCCCTGGAGGCCTTTGAAGTCCCCCAGCACTCATCGTGCCGAGGCCCGGCCCTGGCCCTCCGCTGCAGAACCATCTCACCAGCTTCCTCCGGTGGGGGAGGCATCTCCCGGGGGCGTGGCTCAGAAAGTCTCGCCTGTGACTGCCCTCAGAGCCACCGCGGATGGCCAGGCTGGGAGAAGAGTCGAAACAGAGCTGTTCCCACGAACCTGGGCCCCACGGAGTCATGGAACAGTCTGTCCCCACAGCTTGTCCCTGCCTCCCCTCCAGTCACGCATCTAAGGAAGGAAACTGGCACTGGCCTCTGGAATGCCGTTTTGCTGCCCCCCAGCAGGCGCTGAGGACATAGTCGGAGGTGGCTTTGAGATAGGGTCCAGCCCTCAGGGATATTCACAGGGCCTGTAGGAAAGGCAGGAGGAGGAGGAGGGCTGCCTCTGGGGCCCCCACTTCTCTCTAGGCCCCCTCCCACCAGCCCATCCAGAGAAAGCAAGGGCCTTACGGCCTAAGCGCAGGCGTTTGCTGCTGTGATGAGGCCCCAACTCTGGGTTGCCTGATGGGGCAGTGGGGCAGGAGTCGGAGCGGCGGGCTGGGGTGGGGGCAGCATTTAGTGACAGACAGATGGCAGCACGCGTCACCGGTGTGTGTCCAGCACTCGTGCTCCCGGAGGCCGCTTCCCGAACGTCATTTCCTCGTGTGATCCTTGTCGTGGTCCTCCAGGGAGAATGACAGTCCCTGCGCCCCATTTTACAGACGAGGACACTGGGGTACTGAGGTTAAGTACCTTGGTCAGGCCACCTCTGCGTACGGTATGTAGGGAAGGCCATGCTCCCTCCTCTGTGCGGTGGCCCCACGTCTCAGGCCTTTGTCGACAAATCCCCCAGCCCGGCAGAGGGCCGTGGCGTGGCTGGTGGCCTGGAGAGGCAGCTGAGGTGCTGCTTTATGGCATAAGGCAAGCCTCCTTTGTTTTGGAGTCCCCGGGGCAGGGGACACTTGTGCCTGGTGCCCCTGGGAGGAAGGAGAGGAGCACACGTGGGAAAGAGCAGGAGGCGGTGGGCAGATCACAAGGTCGGGAGTTCGAGACCAGCCTGGCCAACATGGCGAAACCCTGTTCCTACTAAAAATACAAAAATTAGCTGGGCCTGGTGGCTGGGCATGGTCCATAATCCCAGCACTTTGGGAGCCCGAGGTGGGCGAATTACGAGGTCGGGTGTTTGACACCCCCCGCCCTGGTCAACATAGCGAAACCCTGTTTCTACTAAAAATACAAAAATTAGCTGGGTGTGTGGCTCACGCCTATAATCCCAGCACTTTGGGAGGCCAAGGCGGGCGAATTAAAAGGTGGAAGTTTGAGATCCGTCTGGCCAACATGGCGAAACTCCGTCTCTACTAGAAATACAAAAAATAGCCGGGTGTGGTGGTGCGTGCCTGTAATCCCAGTACTTCGGGAGGCTGGGCCAGGGGATCACCTGAGGTCAGGAGTTCGAAACCAGCCTGGCCAATATGGCGAAACCTCCTCTCTACTAAAAATACAAAAATTAGCCAGGCATGGTGGCGGGCACCTGTAGTCCCAGCTACTTGGGAGGCTGAGGCAGGAGAATCACTTGAACCTGGGAGGTGGAGGTTGCAGTGAGCCGAGACTGCTCCATTGCCCTCCAGCCTGGGTGAGACAGAGTGAGATTCTGTCTGGGAAAGAAAAGAAAAGAAAAGAGGAGGAGGGGCACTTAGTGTGATCTGTGAGGTCCCAGCTCCGCAGGTGCAGGGTCCTGGCCTCAAGGGACCCACTGTCAGATTGGAAAGACAAGTCTGTTGATCCATATTCTCCAGTGAGAAGAACGCAAGATGCCAGTCACAATAGCCGTGCACACATTGGCGAGCCCAGGACGAGCCCAGCACGGTGCTAAATGCTTCCGTCTGCTGTCTCAGGGGATCTTCCCAGGACCCTGTGGGAGAGGAATGGCATCACAGCTAGAAAGACGAGGAAGCCGGGGCTGAGGAGCCCGGCCAAGGCCATGTGCCCAGGAGTGAGCCAGGGCGGGCAGCTGGCTGCAGAGCCCATTTCTAGATGCCCCGCTGCCTCCTGCTGTAAGAAGACTGTCCCGCAGGAATTCAAAGGCAGAAGGGTCACCCTGGGCTGGAATTAGGGAGGCTTCAAGGAGGAGGTGGAACGAGAGTGATTTGGCAGCCCTGGGTTTTTTAATTCCGGAAGCAATGTTTGTATGAGAAAGAAAATTGCAGTAGAAGCAAAGAGACTTGAAACATAATCAGAAACCATCCCTACTCCCACTCCTCCAAAGCAGCCAATTTATCCTGTGCCTTTTCCCTTCTCGAGGTATACACATTTTTATAGAGATTTAATCAGGGCCTGGATTGTCCGTTTGTATATTTTCATGGATTATTATAAACCTCCTCTTTTTCTAGGGCTGTATGGAGTCTTCCTAAGCACCTTTTTGGATACTTTGTTAAAAGTAGTTTATATTGTTTATAGAAATCGTTGTATAAAACGGCCAGCGCAGTTGCTATGCTAAGGCTCTGTGTTATTCTAGCAAGGTGGGCAGGCTCTGCATCTGCAGAAAGCAGTAGGGTGGGCATTCCAGGGAGGAAGGAATGTGAAGGGAGGGTCCCAGGAAATTCAGGAGCCTCAGCAGGGGTGGCGCGGGAGCTGTGAGCAACGCCAGTAGAAGGAATGAATAAAAGGAGAGGATTTGTGGGGGTTTTGGCCGGAAGAAGTCTTTTTTTTTTCTTTGAGATGGGGTCTCTCTCTCTTGCCCAGGCTGGAGTGCAATGGCGCGATCTCGGCTCACTGCAACCTCTGCCTCCCAGGTTCAAGCGATTCTCCTGCCCCAGCGTCCCGA